AACTAATTTAAAAATTATACACATGCGTTCTGGTTGTCCATTATGTTGCATAAATTAAATATTGTACAATACAGTATTGCTGAAATACCCCTTAATTTTTAAAAATAATTGTATAGCAGCCAGAGCCTAATAGTACTCAATACATGATGCTTCATCATCGGAAGTGACTTTTAAATTAGAATTTTATTCTGTATCCCAGTTTTTGCTTTACTAAAGATGATAAAAAATGTTCTATTGTATAGTATTATTTATTATTACAATTTATATACAAATTTTATACAATATTTACAATAATATTTGTATTAATATTTACATATAATATGTACTTCACTCATCTGTAAGTAAAAAATGATGTTCCAAACCTAATGGTCATCTTTTGTGGATCTTTTGATTCTAGAGAAGCACTAGATAATAAACAATGACAGAACTACGTTATTTCATCGCTAATTAGTAGCTAAACACATGTTAAGTTGTAATAATGTTCATTTAACTTCATACCAATTTTTAAAGTCTCTTGAAACTCCAATCCATCATGTTCAGTTGGTGCCCATAGTTTCAATTCCTTCACTTAGAATGTTTCATGCTGTAAACAGATAAATATGAACCATTACTACCAAAAGAAAAACAGAACATTACACATACTTAAAAAATATAACTTATCTTTTTTGAAATTGGTGACTAACCCATTTTCTCGTATATCCTCTGATGTTATGTTTCAAGTTTCTTCTCTCAAGAAATAATCTTTTAAGTTTTCTACTGTAAGTTTAATAAAACGTGGTGCTTGTTCTGCGTATTTTGACAGTGTTTCTAGTGCATGTTGTATTTCTACTTTGCTGGTGTCTTCTTCATAATATTCAATTTGTGCCTTTTCTTCAAGTACAACTTCTTCCATATTATCTTGTTCTATATGTTCTTCTTCTACCATGTCATCGCCTTCATGTTTTTCAAATTTATGCAACAACCGTATATTATGACGATTTTTGAATTTTGCTATCCAGCCTGCACTTGCTTTAAATGTCGAAGGTCCACCGAATTCCTCATTCAGCTCTAACGCTTTATTATGTAATAATAAGTCTGTGACTGGGTCTCCTAATGTTTTTTGTTCCAACCACCACACATATAAACGATTTTCTATATCCTCGAACGCAGGTTTTCGTAACTTCTTTCGTTTCCATACTTGCATCCCTTGTTCTGCGAGATGATGCATTGACATTATATTCCGTCGAATGCGGCGTACAGTGGTAGGATGTATCTGATACTCGTTAGCTAAATTTCTGACAGAAGCACCACACTCCAATTTTTCCGAAATTTCGATTTTCTGTCCTATCGTGAGCGCGGTCCTATTCCTAATACTAGTGCTATTCGCCATTGTATTTGATTCGGACTCGTTATGATTCGTCATCTAGATTCTAGAGGACTTTCTTTTACTTAATAATAATTACGTATTTATGTTTTGCGCCAGTACAGATCACCGTTTGCTAAACAATGCCCAATATATAGTGAGGTTATAATGCACACAGAAGCCTCAGAAGGCCTTTTGCATAGGCTCACGGCTCATATAGAGACAAAGCATGTATGTATGTATGTAAGGATGTTTCACNTAACTAATTTAAAAATTATACACATGCGTTCTGGTTGTCCATTATGTTGCATAAATTAAATATTGTACAATACAGTATTGCTGAAATACCCCTTAATTTTTAAAAATAATTGTATAGCAGCCAGAGCCTAATAGTACTCAATACATGATGCTTCATCATCGGAAGTGACTTTTAAATTAGAATTTTATTCTGTATCCCAGTTTTTGCTNTAACTAATTTAAAAATTATACACATGCGTTCTGGTTGTCCATTATGTTGCATAAATTAAATATTGTACAATACAGTATTGCTGAAATACCCCTTAATTTTTAAAAATAATTGTATAGCAGCCAGAGCCTAATAGTACTCAATACATGATGCTTCATCATCGGAAGTGACTTTTAAATTAGAATTTTATTCTGTATCCCAGTTTTTGCTTTACTAAAGATGATAAAAAATGTTCTATTGTATAGTATTATTTATTATTACAATTTATATACAAATTTTATACAATATTTACAATAATATTTGTATTAATATTTACATATAATATGTACTTCACTCATCTGTAAGTAAAAAATGATGTTCCAAACCTAATGGTCATCTTTTGTGGATCTTTTGATTCTAGAGAAGCACTAGATAATAAACAATGACAGAACTACGTTATTTCATCGCTAATTAGTAGCTAAACACATGTTAAGTTGTAATAATGTTCATTTAACTTCATACCAATTTTTAAAGTCTCTTGAAACTCCAATCCATCATGTTCAGTTGGTGCCCATAGTTTCAATTCCTTCACTTAGAATGTTTCATGCTGTAAACAGATAAATATGAACCATTACTACCAAAAGAAAAACAGAACATTACACATACTTAAAAAATATAACTTATCTTTTTTGAAATTGGTGACTAACCCATTTTCTCGTATATCCTCTGATGTTATGTTTCAAGTTTCTTCTCTCAAGAAATAATCTTTTAAGTTTTCTACTGTAAGTTTAATAAAACGTGGTGCTTGTTCTGCGTATTTTGACAGTGTTTCTAGTGCATGTTGTATTTCTACTTTGCTGGTGTCTTCTTCATAATATTCAATTTGTGCCTTTTCTTCAAGTACAACTTCTTCCATATTATCTTGTTCTATATGTTCTTCTTCTACCATGTCATCGCCTTCATGTTTTTCAAATTTATGCAACAACCGTATATTATGACGATTTTTGAATTTTGCTATCCAGCCTGCACTTGCTTTAAATGTCGAAGGTCCACCGAATTCCTCATTCAGCTCTAACGCTTTATTATGTAATAATAAGTCTGTGACTGGGTCTCCTAATGTTTTTTGTTCCAACCACCACACATATAAACGATTTTCTATATCCTCGAACGCAGGTTTTCGTAACTTCTTTCGTTTCCATACTTGCATCCCTTGTTCTGCGAGATGATGCATTGACATTATATTCCGTCGAATGCGGCGTACAGTGGTAGGATGTATCTGATACTCGTTAGCTAAATTTCTGACAGAAGCACCACACTCCAATTTTTCCGAAATTTCGATTTTCTGTCCTATCGTGAGCGCGGTCCTATTCCTAATACTAGTGCTATTCGCCATTGTATTTGATTCGGACTCGTTATGATTCGTCATCTAGATTCTAGAGGACTTTCTTTTACTTAATAATAATTACGTATTTATGTTTTGCGCCAGTACAGATCACCGTTTGCTAAACAATGCCCAATATATAGTGAGGTTATAATGCACACAGAAGCCTCAGAAGGCCTTTTGCATAGGCTCACGGCTCATATAGAGACAAAGCATGTATGTATGTATGTAAGGATGTTTCACTCAAGAAATGTGTCTACATACATGCAGATCGTATGCATGTGTAGTATAGTAAGTGATTAATATATGTACATATGTGCAGTTGTCATTGCATGGCTGGAAAGAAATCATCTGGAAAGAATGCGGGTCTGATTGGTTGTTAGCCATACTTTTATTAATGAATGTAATTAGACTTCTCTTACACAAATCTGTATGTGTATTTTGACTCTCCAATCTCTTCCGGACCGAACTCCGTAAAATTTGAAAACATAACTCAACTTCTTACATGAGTTATATTTTATTGGTCTCTCTCGATTCAGATTGTAGTATTGTCGCAATTTTTGTAGCAAACAATTGTCAGTCCGCATGCGTCTATAAATAAGAAATTTTTTATTTCTAATTTTCTCTCATTTTCTAGAATCTCCAAAATTATTTTCAAATTAAAATCGTTGTACTAAAACAGAAAAATATAGTCACCGATCCTCTCCGCTCTGTGTCGATGTTTAAGAAATTTAAACTTTTTAGCGAGGATCGAGTATTCGGTATACTTCATTCGTATTACGGCATGTTTTATGATTTGCAAGCTACAAATTCATAAGGCGTCTATATTCAAACGACTTTTTCAAATTTGAAGCTAGAACCTTTACGAACTTCGAAATGTGTCTGCAACGAAGGAGATTCACCAAAGTAATCTTCCAAAATATTTCTACTTCAAAAGTTTTTCTGTGCCTCGAATTCTATTAGTTATTCGTTATAACTGTCTATAACCAAATTGATTGATACAAATTATTAAATAATATTACAGATTGTACTGAATAAACTTTTTATATTACAGCCATTGGCTCGCTATGATACTTGATCTACAATATTTTATTGATCGAAGATCGGGGTCGCCCGGGTCGCATCACGTGGAGATTGATTGAAGCTGCAAGAAACCCGAAGGCAGCCAGATGAAACGTTTAGAAATATGTGAAAATAGGGTTCAGATTGAACCAATATTGACACGAATGCGGTTACATCTACTCCCATACCTCTGGGAGGTATGTGCTACTAGGTCTAAATTCGTGACCTGTCGATAACGTAGCTACTAGTTTCGGCATTGTGTTACCACGTAAAATGACGCTGTACAGTTACTTGGCAGGGCTTCGCTACTATTGTTCAAAATGTAATTCATACACGAACAAAAAATATTATTTCAATGCTTCCTTATCATGATACGCAAAATCGGAACATTTCAAAAAATACTATTAACTTTTCAGAACTAATAACATAAAATTATATCAGTTATTGATATAGAAATTTTTATTCTTACTTTAAACATATTAAACTTGTTTCTTCATTGTAAAATTCGTGGAAGAAATATTGTAATTAATTTTCTTTTGCCAAGAACAAGTTACACATTTTAAATAATTCGAATGTATGAATATTCGCAACATTTTTCGGTGATCGAATACCAATCATATTGTAAGTGGTAAGATAAGAACTGAACTTTATAAAAATAAGTTGTTTTTCGACAACATACTAAGTTCTACATATGAAATAAGGTAGTTTTTACTTCCGCATTGAATTGATTACGTACGACTCATTGCGTCAGCAGAAAATGTGAAATACGCAGAATATAGCGAATTCGATCATTCTACGTAGCAAGCACGAAGTGCAAAAATACAATATGTAAATGATCATCTATTTTAGTTCGTTACAGAATAAACCGCCATCTGTGCCTAGAAACTCTTTCCGTATGGTGCTATATATATTTCGAAAGATCAAAGTTTTTATTTAAAATATACTTATCACTTTGGACGCCTAATTGTACAATTATTCAGGCGGTCAAGGCGTGATAACACAGGATAGAACCATGGGCCGGGTTGATTGAATCAGGAAGAAACATTTGTGGTATGTGAACAACGCTGTCCTCGTCGGCGACATGACCTAACTTTGATATGCGATGTGTTAGTATCGATCAGAGGAACCCGGTATTCCGGCAACGACGACGCAAGCTCAACTCGAAACCGAGGATCCGTCGAGGTAGAGGGGCAGTTGTTATCCTCCCTCGTGCTACCGTTCGATTCTCTGCTCCCGTTAGCCCTCTCTCTTTCTTTCTCGCCCTCTTTCTCTCGCATCCTCGTGGGAAGGAGGACGAGAAGCAGAAAAGATGAGCGATCAAGAGGATCTCGGTTGTTACATCATGTTCCCATCGTTCCCGTCATCCCCAAAAGATCCAACGTTGACCACGAATGGACAGGATCAGCAGGACAAGTATGTATTCGTCTACAAGGAGGACAAGCGTCCGGTAGTCGTGCTGCTAGGATGGGCCGGCTGTCAGGACAGATATCTGGCCAAGTACAGCGCGATCTACAAGGAGAAGAGGTACTGAAACCCTTCTAAATCAAATATTTCGACACAGGAGAATTTGTCTTCCTCGTGTTTCTATATAGAAATCGCATGTCCATTCAACAAATTCACACGGTAAATTCGATAGACGCGGTACCCGTTGAATTCACAATCTCACGACAATTGTTATTTCGTGCGCAGAAGTTGAGGAAGGATAGATACGCGGGGACTGGTCCCTCGTTGAGATCGTTTCCCCTGCGACCAAACTGTATCAGTATATTCAACAAGTCAAAATAAATAAAGCGTGTACATGAACGGATTGCACATTGATATTTGTCTTGTAGAGCAGTGCTCGGAATGCTTCGGGATGCAACATTAGGCTCCGCCTCCTGATTACCGCCGCAGCCTCTCGCTCCCCGCGTTGCTTCAATCGGCTCGCCACTGCAGCGCGTCGCTTTCCACACTGCTTCCACCGGCTCATCGCCACACTACGGCTGGGGCGGTAGTCAAGTGGCGGAGCCTAATGTTGCGTTCCGAAGCATTCCGAGCACCGTTATAGAGAAATCAAGTAAATCTGAATCTTAATAAAATTGCATAATCCTTTGGCGCAGATCGAATTGGATAAATCGGTTGACCAAATTGATTTGGTCGAATCTTGCGGAATCCATTCATTATTATTTTGGTCTAATTTATTTGTAGTAATTTTTCGAAATTGGCCACAAGTATTGTTTTGTCTTCAGCTGCATCACTTTGAGGTACACGGCGCCAGTAGAATGTCTATTTTGGCGAAGAGACAAAATGCCTCATATTGGGAAACGATTGATCCAAGTGATCACGGATAACAGTTTGGATCAGCATCCGATATTTTTCCACGTTTTTAGTAATGGTGGCGCGTTCCTTTATCAACATGTGAGCCTTGCAATGCAGCAGGCTGACACGCCACTTATGGTGAGAAGATGTACTTTCACCCTACGTTTTTTAAATATTTCCGTTTTTTCATTGTTTGTTCAAATTAGTCAATTGTTCGATTTCGTAGGTCAAAGGGGTAATATTTGACAGCGCACCAGGTGAGAGAAGATTAACTGCACTGTTCAAAGCGATCAGCGCCATCATAGGGGGAACTCCGCTTACAAACATACCAATGTCCTTCTTCATTACAATCTTCCTATCCATACTTTGGTTTTTCGAGGTATATGCATTGACTTTACCTATTTTAGAATATAGTCTTAGATATTACCCATTACACATTTTACGGCATTGTAAACGGTATTTTATGGTATTCGTAAATTAATGGGTTTTAAAAATGAGACGGCGGACAGACATATCGAGAAAAGTATTCAACATTCTGTATGTTATTTATAAATCTAAATGATAAGACTAGAGCCAACTTGGAGTCGACTGCCGTTGAAAACGCTTGTCAAACTCTCGACGCCCGTTGTAAAAAATTACTAGAATAGTAATACAATAGTAATACAAAATAATGATCGTATGATTCATTTTCGTTCGAAAGTCTAATAATGTTACACGTCTCTAAGCAGGTCTAAGAATATTAACAATATGAACCACTCGTTTAGATAGTCGCCCATACTTTCGGACGTGATTATCCCGTGCAAACCAACCCGATCGCCTTAGCGGAGGAAACTTATTCTTGGCCGCAAATGTTTCTTTATTCGAATACCGACACTTTAATCCCAGCATCGGTAAGAATTCTTTAGAAACTTTCTCATTTACAATCCAATTATTTGATGCACCATTAAATCACCATCATGCAAGAGGTAGTCTGTTTGTAGAGATGAACGCAGTATCGTTTCCAACGTTTCTGTTTTAACAGAACGTTAATTGCTTTGAAGCAAGTGCAGAAGCTTGCCAAGAACAATAGGAACTGACACTGGTAACAGTTTAATCGACTTCTTATGTTCTCATTTCAAGGATGTCGAGAAGTTTGCCAGCCGACGAGCAGAACGTGGCGTGCGGGTGCAACTGGTGCTTTTTATGAATTCCCCGCACGTGAAGCATTATGCCACGTATCCTGACGTTTATGTAAACACGGTTTACAACTTTATGCACGAATGTCTCTCGTCATCGAACTTCGAAAGTTTAGAGTCGTCGCAAGATGAAAATAGTTTACAGAAATATGACACCATGCCAGGCTTCACCAAAAGGGTGGTGCTACCTCACCAAGCTACCAACCAGTTGAATTAGAAAAATCCATATTAAATTAGCCACATGATCGATGAAAGCGTCGCATTTCGTACGCCCGTGAGAAAACGGACAAACTGGAGGGCTGAGAGGATTGACGGATACAGTATTTGGAGTCCTCTTTCTCAAGTCAGCGAATCTGAATTCTCGAAACGAGTATTTCTGTCAGCGTTGAGTCTTGTTTATTTGCATTCCCTTTTATTTTGTATTTGCTTCGCGTTACAATTAGGCTTCAGATGTTTTTAAATATATAAAAAACAGAAAATAAATTTTGATTATGATAATCGAACATCCGTACGTTTCATCGACCTATTACTGCACTTTGCTTAATAATAGTTATAATAATATAAAATATAATAATTGCGCGTGGAAAAATATAATCACAATAATATATTATGTTGAATTTTTCAAACTCAATATCGATCGATTATAACAAGACTCAACACTGATTCTTTGCGAACTGGAAGAACTCGAATTTTTATGCCGACATCAAGAACTACAGTCAACTCGATCTCTTTTTCCTTCTTTTGTCCCCTTCTGCTTGTTCAATTTCTGCTTTCTACTTCATTCGCTAAATTCTGCACGTCGATGTGTCTGAAATCGATGCGATCACGTTCTTTTTGGAAATTAAACGCGCACGTGATCCGTTTTTCAGTATTACAATATAAAGGTACATATATCTATATATGCAATTGCAAGTCTTATTGTTTGGGAACGACTGTTCGGAAATCAGTAATCTTATGTAGCGATCTACCAAACACATTATGTACTACTGTAAAGCAGAATTGCTTACTATGTTGAGCCATGACTGTAGTCGCATCTAACAATGAAGTGTTACAAACACAAAAACAGAAGGAAGGAAAAGGAAAATTTAGATTTAGTAACCTAGACGCTTGAGAATGTGATTGCAGTGTACCCGAGAAAGTTATAATAAGGTATCGAAATCTTGAGACTTTGAGATTTGAGCTAATCGAGTATCGGCGCACAAGCCCGCACAAAAAGATCAAGCTGGTCTTGATTTACTTTTCGATTTCATTATATGGCGTAATTACGTATCGGCGAAACTGAAGAATTTTCTTGTATTCCTCTCTACTAAATAATGTTATGTTTACGTATATATGCATACGCAAATATAAATATGTATATATAAATATATTTTGATCTGACGAGATTAGTTACGAATAAAGACTGATAAATAT